TAATAATTTAATTAAAAGATAATTATTAAATCAAGGTTTTTAAATTTTAGAATTTAAATTGAAATGGCTTTTAATTTTTGAAATTTTAAATAGATTTAAAAACCATAGTATTTTGAGATATTTAAAATACACACTTATACTATATGTAATATTAAAGGTTTAAATATTTACTATACGTATAAGACAAGTCAGTCAAACAGCTAGTACACCTCATTCATGAAGCCGATCTATAAGGGGGATTTAAGAAAGATACTTATAAAATGGTAGTTGAATGAGTGTCTACTCTCACCCACCGCTTCCTTGATTTGTGGAGGGTCGTTAGCCATACGGGTTTGATAGGACACTTAATTCTCATTAATAAGTATAATGGAATCAATAAGTAACTAAATGTTTTTTTAAGTTCCCAACCTTAGTTACTTTAGGAAAATGTGAATTTGATGCTAATCCATGAAATTGCACATTGCACTTTATACAAGTCATTAGTGGAGCGTGTGTGATTAACCGGCACACTAATATGGACTAATAAAGGGTGGCAATGGGTAGCTCGTAAATTATCATTGATCAATGGAGTGTGTGTGGTTAACCGACACATTGATTGGGTGATAAATAACATCAAGAGTACCAAGCTAATTTGCATGGTTATTCACACCTTATTTGTGATCCTCGGTATCGCAATCACAAATGGAAAGGACATAATCGAGATTAAACATGCCATCGAATAGTTCAATGAATCTCAAAAGATCTAGGAATTTCATTTAAAAACCTAATTCGTTTAAATTTCATTTTTGTGATGAAATTAGTAAATCGCCATTTACCTACCTTTAAATAATTAGCAATTGTATTACGACATCCCTCTTCTGAATTGTGAATTATTTAGTTGGATCCTAGCTTTAATATTTCATTTGGGTGTTATATTAAGGATTTTCTTATCTAATCAAAACTTGTCTTTCTTCTTTTGTAGATTTCAACCTCCAATGCTTCTGGCTCCAACAACAACAACTCCAACCACTTCTCGCTCTTGAGCATCTGCTCAAAAGTCACCTTTGATGGATCCAATTATAATGATTGGATTCACAACATCAAGATGGCTTTGGGATTCGAGGACAAGGAATATGTTCTCGAAAAAGAGTTGAACGAGATCGATGAAACTAAAGCTACTCCTGAAGAAATTGATGAGTATAGGAGACATTGCAACGATGTGACCAAAGTGGCGTGAATCATGGTTGCCACTATGACTCTTGAGCTTCAGGAGTTCTATGAGGACTATTGACCATATGAGATGAACAAGGACTTGATGGAAAAGTACCATCAACGAGCTCGTCAAGAGAGGTATGAAATTGTGAAGTCCCTCATAACCAACAAAATGAAGGAAAGAGAGTCTGTCACAACCCACTTGCAACACATGCAACGATGTATGGATTGTCTCTTGAAGCTCAATGTGAACTTTGATGAGGAATTGGCTATTAACATAGTCTTGCACTCATTGCCTAGCTGTTATGATCAATTTGTTATGACTTATTATCTGAACAAGGAGGAAATCACATTAAGTCAACTCCAAAGCTTGTTGAGAACCACTGAGAGTGGAATAAAGGGAAAGAGTATTACCTCTACTCCTCCTACTGTTTTTGCTTCTCCCGTCTTGGACATTGGGCAATGGAAGGGGAAGAAGAGGAAAGCTCCCTCAAAATGGAACTGGAAGGGAAGTCTCAAGGTTGGTCATCAAGCAATGACCCTAAAGGAAAGTCTAGTTCTGAAGCTCCCCCTGCCTCTGATCCTAAAGAGGCCACTTGATTCTACTGCCATGACAAAGAAAATTGGAAGAGAAGCTACCCCAAATACTTGCAGTACATTAGGGATGGAAAGGTGAAGCCAACCTCAACAGGTATTTACATTATTCAATCTAAAAACTCATCACATTCTAATTCCTGGGTCCTTGATACAGGATGTGGTTTTCACATTTTCTCTGAATTGCAGGGACTAAAAAGAAGTGAGGATGTAGAGCATGGGAAGATGACCCTGATAATGGGAAGTAGGAGATCGTCACCTATTACCAAAATGAGTGTTTATTCTTTAGTGCTTAGTAATGGGTTGAATTTGGATTTAAACAATTGTTGCTACACGTCAAAGATGACGAGGAATATTATTTCTTTTCATGATTTATATAGAAAAGGTTTTGGATATTCTTTTAATAATGAGAATGGTTCTATTAATGCTTATTATAATGGTGTATTTTATTTTGAAGCATTACCTAGTGATGGTGTAAATGAAACTGTGATGGTTGTAGATAATTTAGGAAATATTGTGTTGCAAATTGATGTGTCTAATGGTTTAGACAAGGCCTGCTTGTGGCATTGTCATCTTGGACATGTCAACAAGAAACGCATTGCCCAGCTCCAAAATGATGGAGTGTTGGAATCATTTGAATTAGGGTCAGGCGATACATGTGAATCTTGTTTGCATGGAAATATGACTAAATCACCTTTCACCGGTTCTTGTGAAATAGGTGAAGGATTGTTTGATCTCATACACACAAACGTGTGGGGGTCCTTCAAATCCACCACAAGGGATGGAAATCAGTTTTATGTGACTTTTACTATTGATTATAGCATATATGGCTATATCAACTTGATCAAGAATAAGTCAGAAACATTTGAAAGGTTCAAAGCATTCAAACATGAAGTTGAAAATCAATTGGGCAGGAAGATTAAGATGCTCAGATCTGATAGAGGTGGTGAGTATCTTAGTATCGATTTCCATGACTATCTTAAGGAATGTGGAATCATTTCACAATTGACACATCCTAGGACACCACAACTTAATGGTGTGACTGAGAGGTGTAATTGAACCTTATTAGACATGGTTCGTTCCATGATGAGTCGAACATCAATTTCAATATCATTCTGGGGGTATGCCTTATAGACTACCACCCATATTCTTAATCTAGTCCCAACAAAGAAGGTTGCAAAAACACCTCACAAGATGTGGACAGAGAAGGTTCCCTCGTTGGCACATATCAAGGTTTGGGTTTGTGAAGATTTTGTTAGACGAGAGACTCACGACAAGCTCGAACCTCGAAGTGAGCGATGTATTTTCATCGGCTACCCATAAAAGTCCTTTGGATACTTGCTCTATAGACCTAGTGAAAACGTGGTCTTCATAGCACGAAAGGGAGTTTTTCTCGAGAGAGAGCTCATATGCAAAGAGGATAGTGGGAGTATAATTTATCTTGAAGAAATTCTAGAATCAAGTGATGAAGGAACCTCTAACACTGGCACTCAACTCGAGGAAGAAATTCTAGTTGAACCTATTGACGAGTCATTACCTCTTAGGCGTTTCACTCGAGTTAGAATGACACCTGAGTTTTATGGTTTCCAGATAACTACAGATGGCGATACATTTATCAGTGATAGTACACTGGTAAATTTGGATGAGACTTCTAACTACAAGGAAGCTATGGCGGTCCCTGAGTCTGCTAAGTGGAAAGAGGTAATGGACAACGAGATCAAGTACATGTATGACAATCACGTTTGGAACTTGGTTGACAATGTACCAGGTCGTAAGATAGTTGGGTGCAAATGGATCTTCAAGAAGAAGACCAGCATGGATGGAAAGGTACACACATTCAAGACATGACTGGTTGCGAAGGGCTTTACTCAAACCCCTAGGGTTGACTATGACGAGACTTTCTCACCAGTGGCTAATATTAAATCTATTAGGGTTATGTTAGCCATAACTGCATTTCAGGATTATGCACTACTAGAAAATAGACCTTTAATGACACGCTTTTTACGACACGTATTGATTAATGATACGCAACAGGACGTGCCCTAAAAATAATGTCAGATCTTTAGAAATTTGAAGAATTTAAGACGCGCATTTTTGCGTACCCTAAAATTAGTGTCCAATAAAACATAAATTACAAAGACGGAGGGCGCTTATCTTAAATGTGCGCCCTCTGCAAATGTCGCTTTATAATTTTTTACTTAAACACGCGTTTTTAAAGGGGGAAATGAAATCCTTAAAATTTCTAAAATTTTGAAGTACCCCGCTTTCCACTCTCTTCTGTAGATCTCCTTTCATTCTCTCCCCCCTTCTCTTTGCAAACCCTTGTTCCCGAGTTTTTATGTAAATTCATTAAAGGAAAGGGAAGGAAAATTTTGACAGAAAGAAAGGGAGGTGAAGGAAAATATTAATTATTCTGTGTTCCCGAGTTCGAAGGAAATGAAAGGAAAGGAAAGGAAAATTTTTAGTTTTTGTGTTTCCGAGTTAGGAGGAAAAAGAAAATAAAACTTAAAATTTTCCTTTCCCTCACTTTCTTCCCAAATCCGCCCAATTTTGGAGGAAAATTTGGAAGGAAAATATGACTCTAAAATCCTTCCCCTCCCCTCACTTTCCTTCCATTAATGAAACTCGGGAACACGATTTTCCTTCGACACCCCTCATTTTCCCTTCGAATCTTCCCATTTTTCTCCTTAAGTGGAACTCGGGAACAAGGCGTAAGGCATTCCATTGCCACCACCAAACCCTAAAAACTCTCCTTATATTAGGTATAAACCACCCTAATTAAAGGAAAAATATCATATCGAGGGTTAATCTCAATAATGCCAACAATAACTTTTTGGAGTCTAAAAGCCCTAATACCAGGTCAAACTATGGGTTATGTACAATCAGAGCTTGATGCTAAGGAAACAGAAAGCGACCCAGCCTACCACGAAACCTAAATCTAGGAATGAAGCTATGGAGGAGAAAGGGTTTGCTCTTCTTCTGATTAGCTCAAATATGGTTCAGGGGTTTAATTCATCCGATTAGCTCAAAAAAACCCTAGAGAAATCCAAAACATCATAAACAATAAACCAACATCTTCTGTTAAACTTCACATACGAAGCTTCGATGGTTCCAGATTAGCTCTATTGAAAACCTCGATATGTCCACGTTATCATTATTTGATGATGATGGTTCCCGATCGCCTGTGAAATTGAAGCTTCGAGAGAATCCATTGGATGGATAAGAAGAGGCGAAGACATGGATCAAGGTATGCTTCTACATCACAAGTGATTCACATCTGTGGTTATTTTTCCTGAAATTCTCAATTCTTCTGCTCTTTTCAATAGCAGGGGAAGCTTTGGGGTTTTAATTTATGTTCACTTCATTGGATGGATAAGAAGAGGCGATGCAGATTTTGTGCGACACAAGGTATTGAAACTGTAGGTGTTACAACTAAGGGAATGGGTATGTTGGAGGGATAACTTACCAGTTCTACAACGTTTAATGGTTTATCATTGCTTACAACTCAAGAGTATCCCTTTGTATGGCGGTGATTGAGCCGCAGTATACCATGTCTGGGAATGTAAAGGTGTTGCTCGGAGTTGGAGATCATGTGTTGTTGGTAGAAGAAGATGGAGTTCAAACTGTTGGTGATAGATTAGGAACTCTGCAGAAGATGGTTATCTCACATAATGGCAAGTTAATGGCGTCATTTACTCACTAACCAAAACAGCCAATAACAATCATAATTGGCTGTATACTTACCAACAGGAAAATAAATAAATAAAAGACTGAAATACCCCTTGGACCATTCCATTCAAGCACAACCCAGCAAAAGTTCACCCAATTGCCCTTTTTACCCTCTTGCTATGAATCAGTAAAGTCAGGGGCTTATCATTCTCTTCTCTTTCTGAACATATCAACTCATATGCTTTCACAGCCTGTACTTTTTTTTATGCTAACTAGCATCTTGCCATTTCAAGAATCAAATTTTACCTTCATTCTATCATTAGGATATTGTTTCGGACCATTTGTCAGCTTCTTTGATTATACTTGCTACTTCCCTTCTCCACCACTACACATAAACCATTTATCTTAATAAATAATAATCTATCTACCTTTTTAAAAAAATAAAATAAATATATAAGCTTTACCTTTGTCTAAAGTTGTATGTGACAACCATCTTTTAGAAATAACCCTGTATAATTATATGATGGTAAGTTAAAATGGATAATTGTTGCTTTCCGTACATAACATAGGGCCTATAGGATTGGGCTTTGGTCAATGGAAGTCACATAGACCAGACCACACAAAGAATACTTGCTTTTACTGACTCGAATTAGAGGTCCAAGTATAGGTTATCTATTTATCTATAGGTACCCTTGCTTTTGTTTTGTTTTTAAAAGGTTTAAGTAACTGCTATCAAAACCAATTACCTCATATCATTTAGGTAGGTAACAAATTATTTTCTTTCCCAGTTAGGTCACAGTCAACTATGGTTTATAATAGTATAACTGTTTTTAAATATCATTTGATTAAAAGAAATATTTCAAAATGTTATTAACTAAAACAAAATTTTAAATATCCAAAGTGTAAAAGTTCTAACAGGACAAATCAATGTTGACTGGTTTATAATAGTATAACTGTTTTTAAAAGGGTATGTTATATGGATTTATATATTCATGAAAATATTTTGAATTTCCTATTCATATAGTAAGATTAAATACAATACAACTTAATTCTTTTTTTTCTTTTTTCCCTACACATTTTCGTTTTTTTTAGATCATTCCACATTTGTATTTCCTATTCATATAGTAAGATTAAATACAAAAATAGTAAAATATAGCTCTGTTTGTTACAGTTTTGGCTTGATTTTTGGGCGAAGTGGAAGTGGAAAAACTACTCTTTTACAGGTTAATTAATTCCCATACTATTCTTTTTTTATTTTTTTATATTCACTTTTTTTCATTTAATTATTTCATACAGTTTATTGTTGGTTTATCTAAACCAACTTCAGGCTCAATGTACATTCAAAGATACACTGAAAATGGTAGTCTAAATCAGTCTCCTGTGTTATTATCTCCAGAAAGAGTTGGTATTGTTCTTGTTATGTGTTACTCATTATATTAAGTGAGTTCATAAGAAATGTGATTAATTTCAGGGTGAGGAACTGTATTAGAAGTAATGTTGGAGATGTTGAGTTGGCAGCAGTTCCATGTGGATTTGGAAATGCTATTGGTAATAAGGTAACTGCTTTTTAAAATTCTCATTTACTTTTAGTTATGTAATAATAACAACTTATAAATTTACTAGTTTCAACAGGGAGGAGTTGGATTGAGGATGAGAATCTGTGGTCAGATTATATGTTTTGTGAACTATCACTTTGCTGCACATCTGGATGTTGTTAACAGGCTTAATCACTGCACATTGAGTTCATGATACTCCTTTCTGAGTTATGCATAACATATAAAAAACGAGGAATATCAAAACTGTATCCATGGCAGGTACTTCTCTAGTCTTTTTAACTATTTGTATTTTCTAGTTTCTTTAACTTTTAAATCGATTTTATTTTGTTAATTGAGGTTCTGTTTTTCCAGGTGGACTGCCTTCAGGTGGATGTGGTGCTATATCTTTTCTACTTAATCACTTTTTCTTAACCATTTGTCTATTCTGGCATAGTGCTGGGAAAATTTTTGTTACAGAAATCTTGATGTTACGTAGAGTGTTTTCAATAAGAAAAGTGGCAATTCTTGTTCTTCCCTATGTATCCATTTGTACAGAGAAGGCCCGGGTATTTCTGTATCTTATTAGTTGAGATTTAGTATTTATGTTCTTGAAGTTCATTATTTGTATGTAAGTGATGCAGGAAGAACATCTTGAAGCCTTAGTGGAACCACTTGACAAGCATGTTCGTAGTTAATATGGAAGCCAAGGTGGAGGAACGCTTCCTAATGATACATCTTTTGATGTTTGCAAAATTGAGAAGAAAAACTCTACTCAATAGATTGTTGGAAGAGGGGCGTTTGTCAGAAGTTGGGATCATAGTAATTGATGAAGTTCACATGGTAATTTGAATTTCCTTTATTTGAACATTATGATGCAAACAATAAGTTCTTTTTATCATTCATTGTTTCACAGGTTGGAGATCAGCAAAGGGGGTATCTGTTGGAACTCATGTTGACAAAGCTTAGGTATGGAGCTGGTGAAGGCAGGTTGGAGTTTTCAAAAGGAGAATGTTCAGGGTCAAACAGTGGGAAAAGTGACCCCACTCATGGTCTTCAAATTGTTGGAATGAGTGCCACTTCACCTAATGTCAATGCAGTTGCTAATTGGCTTCAAGCAGCTTTGTATCAGACAAATTTACGACCTGTTGTGGCAGCTGGATACACCTCAGAAGAGTTATACACTGAAACAAGTGGCTTGGTATGGTTTTCGTTGGGTCCTTAGCCTCTTACTTATGGAGATCATGACACACTTTTTCTATTACAATGCCCTGAGAATTTGCCAAAGTCTATAAACAACTGTCGAGCTTGCTTGATATGCCAATAGAGAGGTTGTCATATTCTTGATTTGCAACTATAGAGCTTGATTGATCTGCTAGTATACTGTATATATTTGCACATGTTGAATATATTGATAAGTTATAGTAGTTTGATTTAACTTTGGGACAATGTTTATTCTGTAGGATTTGAATTTACTCATCTTAATCTGCTAGTATATTGTATACTCATTGAAGAATGCTTGAAAAATTGATGTCAGTTTGTTTAAGAAACACTCTTGTTAAACACTATTGAAAAATTGATGTCATTTACTCTGGGAGTTACTTACTCCAAGAGTTACTGGATAGAATGAGTCATCCCACTTCCCATGTGAGTTTCTTTTACCATTTTACCCTTGAATACATAATGGGCGTTTAATTACAGGTGGTTCCATTGTTAATGAAAGCTATTTGATGCCAAGGAGGAAGTATACTAGCTCAAAAACTTTACAATTCAAGGTAACTATGGTATCCCAAAAACTTTGCAAACAATAAGTTCTTTTTATCATTCAGAAGTTGGGATCATAGTAATTGATGAAGTTCACATTAACAACACTTTGCAATTCAAGGTAACTATGGTATCCCAAAAACTTTTTAATTTTTTTTAAAATTTTATATTAAAGTGGTTGGTTTATTACATGTGTGTGCAGTGCATTTTTCGCAATTCAAAATAATGCAAAGAGTGACATAAAATATCAATGGATCGAAATACTGGTGACGGGGCGGATAGTGCTGAAGATTCAGGGAACTCCCAGCCTTATCCCTCTAGTTTACCCGACATGCCAAAGGCAATATTCAATTTTTTTTATCTATGAAATATACATGTTGATATAGTATACATATGTGTGAGTATAATTGTACGTATGTGGGTTTATACAGGGCAGTGCAAGACAGTTATTTCAACGGTTGCAGGGACCAATGGAAGAGGATACACTGAAATCTCATTTTGAAACAACATTACAAAAGGACACAGGTAGTCTCTCAATAACTTTCTAACTTATTTTATGCTATGCAATTATTATTATTATGAATGATTTTACTGCACTCATATAATCATTTTCCTACAAAGAATGATAATCAGGATCCAAAACAGTTGCAGCAGCCTCATACTTCTCATGCGTTTGCTCTTTGTCAAGTCATGCCAAATAACCTAAATGGCGGGCCTTTCCTCACTTCAGTTCTCTATTGTACTTTTTACTTCTTCTTTTTAAACTTTTTTAATACTATATTCTGCGCAATTACCGAAATAGCCCTCTAGAATTATACGAACCAAACTGGGAGCTTATAAGTGATGCCATTAACAACATTTTGCAATTCATGGTAACTATCATATCTGTTGTGTTGTGTTGGTTCATGATGTGTTGTGTTGGTTCATGATGTACATCATTCAACCCCAGACCGTATTTTTTATAGTTTTATATTATAATTATGCCTAGAGTATTGCATACCTGAAGAACCATTTGTTAGCTCTACAATACTTTTTGAATCTGAACCTTGTCTTTCATCACTAACACCAGCACCTTTTAAAAGGTGCTGGTGTTAGTGATGAAAGACAAGGTTCAGATTCAAAAAGTGTTGTAGAGATAACAAATGGTTCTTCAGGTATGCATTACTCTAAGCATAATTATAATATAAAACTATAAAAAATTTCATTTTTTGATATATATTTTTTGTTTTGTTTTGTAGAGGATACTAAAGAGCAAATCTTGCAAAGGATATTTTTTGTTTTGTTTTGCAGAGGATACCCCTCACATTTTCCCAAATTACCCCTTCCTCTACAATGTTTTTTTGTTTCTGTGTATTTTGTGCATCAGGTAAAGTCGATGGAAGAAAGGAATATGAAGCCACTTGATTCAAATCTTGCATCATTATCAGCAAGATGCAGTAAAGACTTGGAGTTGAATTTGGCTAAGTCATTCTTGAGTGAGATTAGCCAATGTACAACTGCTTATCCATATAATTAGCTGCTTGGAGCATTAGTCTTAAAGAATTATGAAAGGCAAGATGCAACTTTACTTATTTGGAATTTGATGTACAGAGTAGATTAGATGCAAATTTAGATATTGAAAAAAATAGAATTGTATGACATTAAATTTTATGCAATGGATTGTATTTTTTGTATATGATATTTTATTTCTATTATAAGACATTAAATTCAAATTTAATTTAAAAATTAATAAATATATAAATATATTTTATTCAGAACATTTAAAATTATGATACGCAAAAATGTGTCATCTTCATTTATGACATGGCCTTTCTTGACAGGGGCTTCCTTGATACGCATTGCGTGTCATAAACACGCGTGTCGTAAGGTTACGACACACAAATGCGTGTCCTCTTCATTTATGACAGGGCCTTCCTTGATACGCATTGCGTGTCATAACTGCGCGTCGTCTCTCTTTATGATAGGGCCTTTCTTGACATGCATTTGCGCGTCGTCTGAGCGTTTTACGACGCGCAATGAGCGTCGTAAAAGACTGTTTTTCTAGTAGTGATGAAATCTGGTAGATGGATGTCAAAACCGCTTTCCTTAGTGGAAAGTTGGCTGAGGATGTTTACATGAGTCAGCGAGAGGGTTTTGTGGATGCTAAATACCCCCAATAGAGTGTGTAAGATTGAGAAATCAATCTATGGATTGAAAGAAGCTTCCCGCAGATGGAATCTTTTCTTTGATGAGAAGGTCAAAGAGTTTGCTGGCTTCTCTAAAATTGAAGATTAATCTTGTGTATATGTCAAAGCTAGTGGGAGTATAGTCACCTACCTGGTATTGTATGTTGATGACATACTACTTATAGGAAATGACATTCCAACCTTTCAGGAAGTTAAGTCCTGGCTTGGAAAGTGTTTCGCTAAGAAGGATCTAGGAGAGGCTGTTGATATTTTGGGAATAAGGGTTTTCAGAAATAGGAGTAGAAGACTAATTGGACTTAGTCAAAGTACATATTTGGATAAGGTGCTAAAGCGTTTTAGCATGGAAAACTCCAAGAAAGGAGAGTTACCTACCCAGAGTAATACCAAGCTGAGTAAGACTTAGAGTCCGAGTACCGATGCAAAGATAGCATAAATGAGTCGATTTCCATATGCTTCCACCGTTGGATCGACCATGTATGCTATGACATGTACTCGCCCTGACGTAGCTTTTTCTTTGAGCATGTTTTGTAACACCCATAAAATTCAGCCAAATTAAAACTTTTTAGAACATTTAAAACCATTAAGTCATTACAATTTGTTTTCAAAATAGTTTAATCATCAGAATATCCCCAGAATCAAATCATAAAATCATGAACTATGAAGAGCTATACGATCACGCCTTTGCCTTGTCGCGATCCTCGGATGCACCTAAAACAATAAAGTAAAACTGTAAGCTAAAAGCTTAGTGAGTTTCCCCCAAATTACCCATACTCACAATATACATATAATCATAAACACGGTATACAATGGGTCCAGTCAACCATCGGGTTGGAATACCCCAGGCCCTCAACCAGCAGGTTGGAATGCCAACGCACTGTGGGGTCCAATCATCCTCGGGATGAAATACCCCAGACCCTCAACCAATAGGTTGGAATTCCCCGGTCTATTGGCCTCCGCACGAAGTACATAAACCTCAACCACCAAACCGACATGTGCATATAGAACAGATAATCACATAACGACAATATTGATCTAATAGATCCTACCACATAGCTCATCGTATCATCCTGTCTACTAGGATACCGATCTAACAATTCATACCATACATCATATAATATTATCCAAACCTCTAGGATACCGATCTAACAGATCATACTAGCATAACATAATCAGATACGTTCCAAAGGGGCGGCCTTGGTGCCTTAGACCCTTGAGTATAGTGAGGATAACTCACCTTGCAAATGCCGACTCACAGGAATAAGCTCAAACTCTTGGATCACTGTCAGGAACACCACCACCTGTAGTTATTACGAACCATACACGTAAGTCTCCAATCTTTCCAAAAATTGTCCTCAAAAGTCAATGGGTCAACTCATGGTCAAAGTAAAGATCAACAGTCCATGTTGACCTTAACTCGTCGAGCACCCTCAGCTACTCGCCGAGTTTCTTCAATACTCACCCACTCGTCAAGTCACTAGAGTGACTCGTCGAGTTCCTACGGCTCGTGATCGAAGCTCTGAGGCCACTCGTCAAGGTTTCCCGCATGCAACCCAACAAGTTTATACACATGTAACAATTTGGGAAACCCTAATCGACTCACCGAGCCGCTCTATAGGCTCGCCGAGTCTAAG